TAAGAGACAAAAGCAGTAATTATTGGCTAAGATAAAGGGTTTAGAAGAAAAAATTAAGCAGCTAGAAGAGGAAAACAAGGAGTTAAAAGAGGAAAAGAATGGTCAAATTACTCAAATTGAAGTTAAAAAAACTAAGAAATGACCTTGATTGAAAATAAGAAAATAATTTTTCTCTGTATAAATTGAAATTCATTCCAACTATCAAAGAAAATGATGGTTATTTTCCTTTAGATGTAAGTTAGAGAAAATATTCTGACTTTTGATATCTTATTGATGATAATCCAATGATTATAAAAAAGCAGCTACAGTATTACTGATAAAAATAAGATTTACATTCTTCCTGATTATAAATGTAATGAAGATTTTGACAAAGCTGCTGATGAATGTAAAAACAATACTTCAAAAATAAATGATGAATAGCAGGTATAACTTTAATTTTAGGTTTACGATTGCTATTATTTGTGTTGTTAAAAGGATTAAAAAGAAAAATAGATAAGTATGTAATTATAAGATTCATTCCATGTTATTTTTCTTCTTCCAAAGATTTTTGCTTTTGTTAGATAATAGTACACTTTCATTCTGCTTTCTTTTCATAATGTTTATTATTTTTCTTTCTTGGTAAATTTCATAGGTAATTCTTACTTTTTTTAGATAAGCTTCAAGTGTCTGAGTATTGTTTATTTTGAAAACATAAGGAGCAATTTTTCACCTTGTTCCTTTTTTAAAATACTTCTGATAATACTATAATTTTTGGGATCCATAGTAGATCTAATGTAAATTAATTTCATATTATATATTATTTTTATATAGGGATAGTTATATATATCATTTAAGAAAAATAAAAGATAACAAATATGAAATTATAAATCATATTAATATTGATGATAACCAAATTTTTGATCACTGACATTCTTGGTAATACCAATGTTCACTTTGTTTGGTTTTGTTGCAGTATGCCCCATTTAAACATTCCATTTGTAGAACAAATTCATGTTTCTTTAAAGTGAACAAATGGTTTTAAATTCTTAGAATTTTTGAATTAAATAAATTATGTTTAGTCAACACTTTAGGTAATTCTATGGGATAATGATTCATTTAAATTGGACTGGTTTTAATATTAGTATTACAATAATAATAATTAATAATAATTTCAGATTTTTGTCATGTACAACTTTTTGCAAATCATTTCTGATTTATTTGCTAACTTCACAACATGCTTTATATTTTTAGATGGTTTCAAAATTAAACTGAAACAGGCCTTTAGAATCTTTTAATTCATACAAATTTTAGGATGTCTATGTGTGACCGTTTGATGAATACTCTTACCACACCTACCAATCCCAACCCAGAACCCCATGATTGGTAGAAAATAAGGAAGTCTTATCTTAAAAAAACCTTGTCGTGTAACCGAGGTATGTGTGGTAAGAGTTTTCCCGTTTGATAAATTTTGTTTCCAGAAAATTCTAAGATTTAAAAATCTTGCAATTTTTGGCAATACTATATTTGAAAATTTACTTCTTCAAACTGACAAATCATCATTTAAATTATGCATCTTTTTTTAAATAGATTGTTAAATTTTTAGTTTCGTTAATATTAATTTTATGACATTTAAAATATATATAGTTGGCTTGGTATAAAGACCTCCTAAATTTTGGGCAAATTTTAAAAGTATAGAAGTCACTCTCTGTCCTACCTTTTAAAAAAATAGCTCTATTAGTTGATAGAATATGTCTTTAGTTTTAATGTAATAGAGAGATTTTCTCAAAAAAATTATTTGTTGTAGAGTTCTATTCTTTTTTAAAATATGTACTTTACTATGCCCGCGAGGTATTTGTCCACTATGATCATTTCTAAATTTAGGAAATCATGACCAAATTTAGACTAGCTCTTGACCATCGTATCTAAATTTGGCAGTAAGAAAACCAAAATCATGTGAAGTCCTATTTTTTGAAAAATTTTATTTACATTTTTGAACGAATTACAAAATTATTATTTTGAAATTTGGCCGCATGTCGCAGCAATAGGAGGTCTTTAGACCGAGCCAACCATAGTAAAACATTTAATGAGCAATCTGCATTTAAATAAGGGGATTTTTTCAAAAAATTTAATTTAATTTCATTAGGTTCAATCATTCCTTGTTTACATTTGAAAGCAGATTGGAGAAGAAACTTCAAAAGATATATATTATATAATCTAAGTAAACGTTTGTTTTTCTTATATCCCCTATGAAAATTTGCATAGAAATTCATTCCAAGGTGAAGTGTTGAACAATGCACCATCCATACCAATTGTAATGCGCGAAACGAAAAAACATCATATAATGATACCTGGGAATTAAGATGAAACAGTTAAAAAGAATGAATATAGGAACAGTTCATTCTCTATAACGGATCTTTCTGTAACGGATCTTGCTCTGTAACGGACTGAAATTTAATATTAAGCCCAATTTATATGTCCATATATAAATTATTATTATAATGGATTCGCTCTATAACGGACATTTTTTCCTAGCCAAGCGGTCCATTATAGGGAAAGTGAACTGTAAATTGGAAAAAGAATTAATTATAATAAATATTTCTAGATGTCAAATTAATGAAATTTAAAATTTTTATATAGAATGAATCACTTTGAACTGGCTTAGGCTCTTTGTGAAAGTTAGCGCATGTCCGAGCAAGTAAAATAATCCAGAAATGTAGATAAGAAGAATAGACTCACTGTTGAAACAATTCTCCAGATCTAAAACAAAGAGTAGAAGCTATCAAAAATAAAAATATAGAAAACTGGATAACGCGTTTTAGTAGAGAACATAAAAAAGAATTAGCCTAGAAAGAGTTGGACATTATTATGTCATAAAAACATACGAACCAATGAACATGATTTTTTAGTTTGTCATTAAATTCCAATATTACGGGTAAAAAAAGTTGATTTTTATACCATAATCCCCAATCAAGATTGAAATAGTTACAAAAATGGCTAGGACAAAGGGGAATATTTTTTTGATAAAAATGTTCATAACAGTCTATTTATTTGACATCAAAATGTTTGTTATAATAGGAAAATAAAGCGAACTATCACAAATGCACCCTGTCGACCACACACACTCCTTTCACGAATTATCTTTAAATTTTACCCCCCCTTAATGATTTTAAGCAGTCTTATGTATTTGAACGACCTTATAGTAATGTTACAAATAAGTAAAAGAGAAATTGCAAATAAAGACAACGAAAAGTGAACTGGATAAAGATGATGTTTCAATATATATATACATATATAAAAGTACATACAGTATATATTTTTTTTAAAAAAAAAAAATTTTTCTTGAATCTCAAATATCATTTTCATATTAGGAAGTGATACCCTCAGGAGTTTTATCAGCCAAAGGGATAATTATCTTTGAAGAGTAATTTTATTTATTAATAATGTATGAAGCAATGTTTTGTAAATTTTGTGTCATTATTCATATTTGGTTGATCTGTTTCATCTGTTTTCACGGTATCACAATAATTTCAGCCATCTCATCTTTCATCATGATTTTTCTTGAGTATATTTTTAAAATAACATTATATTATGGTATAGTAAACTTTCTTTATTAAAAATTAATGATAAAACAATATATGATGATGATGATATCTCTTATTTCCTGGAGTAACGATAAAAGACCAATTGGATCTAAATGTGTATCTGATTGACATTTTTTATGGCCTTTGCAAGTTTTAATACATCAATTTTATCGGCTATTAGTTCTGATGCTGCAGTTTGTAAGTATTGCTCGTGAGTTTGTTTACGAGAACCTAGATGAGCTTTACTTATGATATATTAGGTTCAGATTTTAGGGAATCCAATGAATCCTTAAATAATTGTTCTATTTTTTTTCTTCTAATTAGAGCTTGGAATAATGGCTTTGTAAATGTCGCTCTGATAATACATATACCTCCCATTCAGTAAAAGACTTTTGGGTCCTTTGGTCTTGGTTTTTTTTTAGAAAAAAAAAATATTTGATTATCGGCAGAAGAGAAAACAACTAATTGTTATTATTATGGGAAAAATCTCGCATAAATTTTTGTTTGCATAGACAAAAAGGAAGAGGTTACTATTTTGCCGCCATGGATTAAATATTCAAGTAATAAGTGAAAGAAGAACGTTATACATTTCATATAAAGAAGAAAAAAGGTATACATCCGATAATTTTAAAAATTTATAAATAAAATTTTCAGATTTTATTTCAACAAACCAAAATTCATCAATTAACCAAAGAATTCCCTGGTATTTCGACTTCAAATTTTTCGCACCCTGAAAGAAGGTAAAGTCATTCATTTACTACAAAATTCGAAAAAACATCACGTCCGTGAAAATATAATAATAAAATACTTAATATGGGAAACAGGCTTACAATTTTTGTTGCACGAACAATTTAATAAGCTGAAAATGGAAGCCTTGATTTTCCGATTAATTATTATTATTAATCTTTACAGCATCTGCATATTTAAATATGTTACATAATCATCAATTAAAAATCGAGTGTAACATTGTTATTATTTATTATCAAAAAAAAAAATGTCTTTAAAAATTTTAATAGGCAGTTATAATGTAAATAAAACTCTGATTAATCAAGATTTATCAAATTGGTTATTTTCTTTGTGGAATTCATCTGTTGACACCACTAATGTCTTCTCTTCTAATATACCCGACATAATAGTAATAGGTTTTCAAGAGTTAGTTCCTTTTCCCGATGCATTTTTTGGTGTTGATAAAGATCTTTTAGATCATTATTCACACCTTATAGAGCGAGCAATAGTTAATTGTAATAAAGAAGGTTATACACAAGTAGTTAAAACTTCTTTTGTGGGACTGGCTTTATTCATCTATTTTCGAGATTTGACAGCTGTCACTTTGATTCGTTCTGTTGATGTGGAGGAGGTGGGAGTTGGACCGTTATGGATTGGGAATAAGGGAGCTTTGGCAGCCAGAATAATTATTAATAGTGGTGGAGATGGCGACGAGAAGGATATTTCATTATGTTTTGTATGTGCACATTTGGCGCCACATGATTATAATATATCAGCAAGGAATGCGGATTTTAAAAGCATATGTGAAAGACTTGTTTTTAAAAATAGAGATGTTGATTCGGAAAGGATTATTATGGAAAATAATCAAGACGAAACATCAGAAACACCATTATTACTACAAAGCAAAATAAAAAACAATAAAAACAATAACAATAATGAGTTTTGTGGAATTTATGATACAGACTATTTATTTTTTTTTGGTGATTTAAATTATAGAATAAGCACTACCACTATTTATCATCAACAACAATTATTAGAACTACCTACATATTCAAAAGTAATAGAACATATAGAAACACAACAACTTGATCAGATTAAACCGTTTGATCAATTGACCATTGAAAAATTAAATAATCGAATTTTTCATGGTTTCGAGGAAGGTGACATCGATTTTCCACCGACATATAAATTTATTATTGGAAGCGATAACAAGTATGATATGAAACGAGTACCTGGATGGTGTGATAGAATTTTGTATTTTTGGCACCAAGAAAAAATAATAGGCGGAGGAATAGAGAATGAAGGAGGAGGAGAAGCTGGAAGATTAGCGTTTAAAGAAGGAAGTAACCATTTGTCCAAGAAGAATGAGAATGAGAATAGTAATAGTAATAAGGAAGAACCTATTATTAAACTAGAATATTATAATTCTAATAGAAATTATACATTTTCAGATCACAAGCCAATAATAGCATTATTTACTATAAAAACAATATTATCACCACCAGAGAAAAAGCAGCAGATTAGAAGAACGTCTTCATCACCATATGAATTTGATTCTTGGAAAATTTTTAAATCTAATTTTGGTAAAATATCTGCTAAAATTGTTGGATATGCTTGGTGGTTATTTGGAACTAGAAAGGGTACAATATTATATGTTACATTAAGCTTCATAATACTTATCAGTTGGTGGATAATTGAGAATTTACAATAAATTAACAAAGTTCTATAATTTACACAATATATATATAGTAATTAATTTTTGACTTGCAAAGTTTTTTTTCATCGTCATTATCATCTAATAATTTTTTGAAATCATCTTAAGCTCTTACAATTTTAATAACGTTTGATCATATTGATGAATTTCAAAATATATATTAGATCCAAATGGTGCATTCACCTTTATAAAAATCAACTAATTGTAAATAAATAATAATCAATCTAGATTTATATTTATATTTATATTCCTTTTTTACAAACGTAATGTAGTCTCAGCATGAGCAAATCATAAAACAGCTTTATTATTAAATTTTTTTTCAAAATCTGCAAGCCTCAATAGATTACATCATCCACTAACTACTAACTACTGTCACTATCAATATGTTATCATTATTATCAAACACACAAATATGGTAAATACGTTCACATCGACTTTTCCATTTAAGACAATGCACTCATTGACAATCCTAATTCCTTTACATACAAAATTAGAAAAAGTATTAAAAATTGATTATTCTAGGTAAACAAAGAAGTAAAAACTGGCTGTAATTTTGATAAACTCAATGTTCCCATAACTTGTAAATAATCCAAACGAATAAACGATCACAGATTGCCCGCTTTTACATATAATAAATATTATATCGATAAAAAAAACTAAACTTGAAACTGATGAACTTTGAAATTTTATAACAGTTGGAATTGTGTCAAAAACTTATATATCTTGAACGAGCTCTTTTACCCAATAAATACAAATCTTTACATTTTGTCATCAATAAACCTATTTGCAAGTGATGATATGGATGATAATTCTAGTAAATTAATTAGATTTGTTAATTAATTAATGTTTATCCAAATTTTGTTGCAATAAATCAAAATTTTAATATCATTCAATGTGTGTGTGTGTGTGTATATATATATATATATATACATGCATAAAATAAAATTTCAACCTTGACACTTGGTGTTTTCTTATATCAAATATAATCATCAACATTATTATTCATTATAATCACTTGTTAATATTACTGTTATTGTTGTCTTGTTTAATATAATAACTCACGATAATAATAAGTCTCTTTGAGTTGTTAAAATGTATTTTAGGAGAGTGGTAAATAAATATCAAGGTTGATTATCCAAAAAAACACGTGTGCTTCAAAATTTTAAAAGTGTAATTTGATTGGTTCAATTGAATCTCTGTTTCGACGTGTTTTTAAAACGTGATTTATTATTGTTTTCATGTATATTAATATATATTAATATTAATAATAATTCAACTCACAATTTCTTCTGCCTTTCTCTTCAAGAAAATTTAATATTTCGAATTTCTTCACCATCAATACGAAAATAAATACACTATCTTTCATATATATATATATATATAATGTCAGACCTTTATACAAAGTTGGAGAAGCTTGGTGAAGGTGAATTATTTAACAAAATAAAAAATTTAAAGCGTCATAACATTTCTTTATTATTATTACTACAACTATATTATCAGTTGTAATCATTATTATGAATAAAATAAAGATTTTTTTTTGTTATTATTAAAGGAACTTACGGTGTTGTATATAGGGGAAAAGAAATAGCAACAGGAAAAATAGTTGCACTCAAACAAATTAGACTACACTTTGAGCAAGAAGGAGTTCCGCCAACGTCACTTCGTGAAATTTCATTGTTAAAAGAAGCTAAGGATCATCAAAATATGGTCAAGTAAGCTAAATCAATTAATAATAATATTATTACAAATTTCATTATATTAGACTATCAATGTTAGTCGTCAATTCATATACATGTATTTATTATATATAGATTATTAGACATTGTCAATCAAGAAAAAAAGTTATTGTTGGTATTTGAATATCTTGCAAAGGATTTAAGAAAACATTTAAAAGAACTTAAAAAAGAAAACTCGGAAATGGATCTGTTTACAATTAAGGTATTATTGCTATTACTATTATAATAATAATTAATTTGAAAGAAATTTAACTAATTAATAAATTATTACATATAGAAATTCATGTTTCAATTGGTTGACGGAGTTTTATATTTACATTCACGTCGAATTTTTCATCGTGATCTAAAACCTCAAAATTTATTGATTACTGCGGATGATAATTTGAAAATAGCTGATTTTGGTTTGGCAAGAGCAATCGGTGTTCCAATGAGGCCTTATACACATCAGGTATTATTTTATTTGATGAAATAAGTTGCACGCATATTTGGTTTTATTAAATCAATTTTCTAATGATAATAATATTATTAAAATGTAAAGGTAATAACATTATGGTATAGAGCTCCAGAGTTATTGCTTGGAGCATCACATTATAGTTATTCTGTTGATATGTGGAGTGTTGGCTGTGTTTTTGCTGAAATGTATAATCTAACGCCAATATTTGCAGGTGAATTATGAATCTGATCCGATAATAATTACATGAAGATTATTAGAATTATTACATTTCAAAAGATATTAATATATATAATTTTTTAGGAGATTGTGAAATCGGTGAACTATTCAAAATCTTTATGTATATATCTCTAATAATTTAATCGACTTTTTTTTCTTTTTTAAAAAATTTTATATGATTAAATCTAATTTTTTTTTTAATAAAAGGATACTTGGAACCCCAAATGAAAAAACTTGGCCAGAGCTCAAATTTTTTAACGATTATCAACAAGGTTTTCCACAATGGTGCCCACAGCCTTTAAATGAGTTAGTTCCTAGAATGGATCATCTTGCTATTGACTTACTTCAGGTTCGTTCAAAAAGGTTATTTATATTATTAATATATAATTTTTTAAAAAAACTAACATGATATATATTATATATGATAAAAAGAAATTGTTTTTGTATGATACAAGAGAACGTATTTCAGCAAAACGTGCTATAGCACATTCATATTTTAATGAATTGAAATAAAGAGATTTTTTACAAAAAAAAAAAAAAAGATTTTTTTAAAATATTTGTAAAAATCTATGATTGCATTTTATTTATTATTACCTATAATATATATATCATATATTCGTATAGAAGAAGGTAATTTAAAAAAAATATTAAAATAAAATAAATATTCGCGCGTGTCACAAAATTTTTTCATTACAATGTTCATTTCAAATTTTTTGTTCATATCACAATGTTTTACATATCACATTAAAAAATTTTTAAAGTTCAATTCTTGGTCGTATATACAATACATACATAAAAAAGAAATAAATAGACATATATTTTATATATATAAAAATAAATATATATAAATATTAATCAATAATAATAATATGGTGGTCGATGATCTTACAAGTGGCTCAGACAGTGATTATACAAAATATTGGATTGATTGGTTTTTGTCTACAAAAGGAAATGAATATTTTTGTGAAGTTGATGAAGAGTATATACTTGATCGATTTAATCTAACAGGCCTGAACTCTGAAGTTCAACATTATGTCCAAGCACTTGACTTAATAACTGATTCTTTAGGTAAAAAAAATATATTTATTATAATATATATATACATTTAAAATTTACTGCACCTTGTAATTTTTTTGATCAAAAATAATTAGAATGTGTAATGTAATCTTTGAAAACGATTGAAAAAAAAAAAAAAAAATCAAAAAAGATATATGTATATATATTTATTATATACATTGTCTGTTGTTTCAGAGGAAGAATTAGATGATGAAATGCGTGAAGCTGTTGAAAAATCTGCCCGACATTTATACGGTTTGATTCATGCTAGATTCATTATTACTAACCGAGGCTTAGGAAAAATGGTATTTATATACAATACATGTGTATATATATATATTTTTTAAATTTTTTTAAAATAATAATCATAATAATCATAAAATAATTGCTATATGTATAGCTTGAAAAATACAAAAAAGCCGATTTTGGACGATGCCCACGAGTTCTTTGTCACAACCAACCACTCTTACCAGTTGGACTTTCAGATCAACCTTATACAAAATCGGTAAAACTATATTGTCCAAGATGTGAAGACATTTATAATCCAAAATCAACAAGACATGCAAGCATCGATGGCGCATATTATGGATCAACATTCCCTCATATGCTCTTCCAAGTTTATCCACATTTATTGCCACAAAAAACTAATGAACGATACATACCAAAGATTTTCGGATTTAAAATTCATGATATAGCAAAGCAACATCGCTGGCAAGATCAACAAAGAGAAGAACAATTAAGAAGGATCACTGTTGGAACCGAGGCAAATATTATTAATAATAATAATATTAATAATAGTAATCTTAGCAGTATTACTGCTACTAGTAGTATTAGTAATATTAATAATATCAATAATAACATCAATAATAATAACAATAATAATGCTAACAGCATTAACAGTATTAATAATCTTAATAATAATAGTAATGGTAATAGTAATATCCTTAACAATATCAACAACAACCCTAGCAGCAATGATCTAATTAATAGCCAAATCAACTAGTAATCAGCAATTATATAAAAAAATTTTTAAAAAATTATATATATTATATTATATTAGCTGTTAGCACATGGAAACTTATTTATAATTCATTTATTTATGAATTTGTGTTTTTAAATTAAGAATCTATTTTTTTTTTATTTTTTAATAAATTATACTAAATAAGATGAATTTATAAAGATATATATTATCCTCACTTATTCAGTGCACGCAATTTTTATTTTTATTTTTTTTAAATAATGAACATTATAATATAGATATAAAAAAAAAATTTTTTTTGCAAATGCTGGGCTTTTAATAAAAAGATTCACTGCATGTGTTTTATCTAACAAGTAACAAAATAAAAATTTGAAATGATAACAAAAGATCTCTGATTGATTAGATGAAAAACAAAAAGAAAAACTTTAAGAGTATGAAAAAAATCGTCAGTTACAAAAAAAAATTGAAACCTATTATGCATTACAGAACTGATAAATCAGAACTGCCCCATGTACACATACAGTTAAGTATACATCCGCTGCACACAAGGGTCCGTAAGTTAATGATTATGACCTAACAAATTCATTCCTTCTATTTTTTACAATAAATATATAACTATTCCATAACATTCCGTTAACATTACTGTAAGGGACTTTTACACCTCAATCATATCTGTAGATATAGAGATGACCGAGACATATTGCATAACATGGGATCAAAAAAAAAAAAGATATAGGAATCATTTAACATACCTGGTTTGTTTTACCAATCAAGTGGTACATCTCCTTTTCAACTGCTGGTATAACTGTTTTTTGCTGAAACATAATCAGAAGAAGAGGAGGAGAATGCACCAGTTCTATAAGCCACTAACATGTCAGAATAGAATAATACCGGTCTCATGGTTCACCAATGATCTGTTGACACATTTTAGAAAAGACCTGTTGCTTGCCAACATGATTATCCCGTGAAAACAAAGTGTGCAATAAAAAGATCAGAAGGTATGTATTAAAAAAAATTTTGAGTATGATTCAGGAAATTAGACTTGGTGGACGTAGGTAAAGCATTTCGTAAACCTTCGATACTTTGATTCTATACTGGATCAATTAGTTTGATCATTAATAAAATAAAACCACTAACTTGATCTAATAAATAGTAAAGACGTTAAAAGCTTACTTGATTAAATCATCATTTTATTTCCCTCTTATTTTTCACAAATCTGGCCACATATCTATAATCCTTCGTCTCACAATTTATCTATCATCAACAGCAACAAATAGATCTTTCCTCTCAGGATCAACTATTCCCCCTGTATTTTTCTTTTCATATTTGAAGATTGATATACTGGCACAAACCAACAAAAAATCTGGATCTATTATTCCAAATACCTGTTGATATCAAAAATCTGCCTCCAATAATAATTGGCATCATCCCCATATTGTGTTTCCTTTATACTTCTTACAAGTTGATAACCAATTGATTTTATGATTTTTGGTATCAAGAGGCATATACGGTCAAACCTCAATAAACAAAGCCTCGTTAAACAAAAGCACCAACTAAAACTGAAGTTGGTTCAGAAAAAGTTATAGTAAATTACCCCCCCCCCCCCGATAAACCAAATTTACTTAATAAACTACCAATACTAATATAATACTAATAGTCCCGGTCTCGGCTTATTATACCTTGCATAAAAATTAAATTGAGTGACAATGTCAAAAATCCTCAACTTCTTGATATTATTTTCTTCAAATATTTTCAGAATTTTATATAACAAAAGAGGTGGTAAAGCAGTTAAAAAAAAATACACATGATACATAATTTTGGAAGTTGTATATGATAGAGCTCTTACTACTACTAAGTTTCATAAAAGATAAGATGTAAAGTTTAGCCAAACATTTTTTTGTTTTAATTGACACAAAAAAATGATTGTCACGATCTCCTTCCAAAAAACCTGGATTTTTTGTCGATTGTCTCTTTTTACGTCTACATATGGGATGTCCACCAGCAAAAAGGGGGTCTGAGGACTTCCAACCAAAATTGAGTTTTTTGCATATTATTACTCTATGATATAAAGACTATGACTAGTAACAATATTAAACCATTTTTGCATAATAAAAAAGTTTAATTACAGGGATAACAAAATGAATCCAAAAAATCCAAAAATGGAAAAGGAAGTGATCTACATACTGAAATTGTGCAATAAATAAATTGATAAAATAAAATTGATAAAAATAAATAATATAATTATTGATAAAATAAATAATACAATTATTGATTAAAATAAATAATATAATTAAAAATAATAATATGATATAAATTGTCAAAATACAAATTAATTAGGTTCAGGACAAAGAATATCTCTATATTGAATATCTACATGTTGCCGAATATTTGTATATAAATATCTCTTTCGTTTATCTGTTAAAGGAGTAGTTCCAAGTGTATTTAATGGACTGTTTTTATCAAAATTAGTATTTTTAAATAGTTCAAAACAAATTTCTGGGTCTCCCAATTTTTTTGAAACATAGACCTTTCCAATATCATCATCCAACCTACCAAAACGAAAATGATGATATTTTCTTATATTTGGCAAATTTCTAAAATGTTCTTCTAACATTGAGTTAAAGTCATACCAGCTCCAACCCAACCCATTATTATATCTAATAGATTCATTATTTATTGATGAATCATTTATAGCTTTTTCAACATCATCAACAATATTTATGTGTCTATCTCTGTATTTTTTTTTTATTAATCCAAAAAAAGAGTCACAAATAAATTTTGTATGTCCAGGAATCATAAAATTTATGTAAATATTTTCATACCAGCCTAACATTGCTAACCATGACCAGAAATAGAGTGATAGATTATTCTTATTCTGTCCAGAACAATTATCACATGTTACATAAAGATCTTTTTTGTCAACATGTCCAATTGTCTTAAGAAAGTGATATACCATATTCAAAGTTGTGTTAGCCCCCTTTTTTGATATTCCTTCTGGCATTTCATCTTCCCCAATAGTAAAATTTAACTGATGATTTTCACCATTATCTGTCTTACATATACCAAAAAGGTGTATAATAAATGGAGATTTAAAATAAATTGCCCCAACTTGTTGAGGAGAATAAGGAGCTCCAACACTTTGGGCCCAATCATAACAAATATGTGTTATTGTTGGATCATTTTTGCTTTTATCAATGATATTATTATAGTGTTGTCTTTCAAGATTTGCAGCAGCAAGATGTTCTTCAGATTCAAATTTAATGTTTGCTTGTTCATCTTCATTATTTGATGCTTTAAATTTGATACTAAAGTTTTCACAAGTATCACAAAGATCACTTGCATGTGTTTGAAATTTAATAATAGGTTTTGTTCCATGCCATAATTTCCAGAAAGTTTCATATGAGATAATTTTTTCAGATTGATAATTTTCTAAGTTTAATAAGTTTAAATGATATTTGAAATCCTTATAAATCAAAAAAATATTTTTATCAGTTGGGAGATATATAAATGGATCAGAACTATCTTGAATCCTCATTGGAGATGGCAAACCATGAATGTTTGCATATTGAGCTTTAAATTGTTCTACAAAAATTGCTGTATCCAGATTAACTATTGCACAAGAGTTAAGTCTTGGGACATTTTTTAAATTACCATGAAGACGATCACATAGACCATTATTTTGCAAATGTGTTTGTAAAGCTGATAATTTATTTTCACTAATATTACAAATTTTTAAAAATACCTTTTGACAAATATATATAGATGAATTATATTGATACTTATATTTTGTCATTGATTTGTTTTTATCTTTCTTAAATTCAAAAACCATTAATTGAGCTTTAATACAAAGATCTTTTTTTTCATCTTCTAATCCTTTCATTTCTAAATATCTTTCAAAAAATTTCTTAAATCCAATCTCTTCAAAGCAAATTTTTTTACTACGACAGGAACAATTACTTTTATTATTAAAAAATGATTTTAAATCATGAATTGTATTGAGAACTAATTCATTTGGCTCATAATCTTCTAATCCTAGTTCAGCTAAATTATATTCTGAAATAAAATCACTTGATCCAACTTGTTGAGTTGAACTTTCAGACAAGTCAGTTATATCTTCAAATGATTCTATAGTATTTTCAAAAATTTGATGAAATGAATAAGACATTTTAAATATATAATAAATAAATTTTTTTAAAAAAATTTGAAATTTAAAATTTTTATAAATTATTTATTTGTCATTTAAAAATGCTAAATGATTTTTATATATTAATTTATTTGATTTATGTAAAAAGTTCAAAAACGTCATTTTTATTTTTATTTTTTTTATGTTTAAGATCGACATGCACAAAAATAAAAAATTACAGGGATTATGTCGTGTAACCAATTTGTTTTGATAATAAGACAGAACAATTTAATAGTCTCAGACCCCCTTTTTGCTGGTGGACATCCCATTTGTCACTTTGTGACAATCTCAAAATTATACTGCAACGAAATAATTTTAAAATAAAATTCATATGCAAAGTCACGTTCTCAATAAACAAATTTTTTTTTCATGATATAATTTTTAAATAAACTTTGCAACTAGTTATTAAATCAAGAGAGGAGCATGGTTAATTATGATCTAATCAAGATAACGTCAATATCCAAAAAGATTTACTAGAAGCGACTTAACTCACATAGTAGTTTTTACCTTTTCAAGAGATATCTTTTTATTTATTTTTTATTATTGCTTCTTTAAAAAACACTGTATAATTAGATATGTTATTAAGAGAGTAGGAAGGTTAATTATGATCTCATCAAGATAACTTCAATACTCATGAAGCTTTATTAGTAATGTAGTTTCCTCTAAATATGTATTACTTCAATAATTATTTTCTCTATTTATTAATTAAATATTTATTACAGATAAACTCTACCAATTTTTTATTTCATTTTTAAATTTAAAAACAAGTTATATATATGCTCTTCGTTTATATTAATTGAATTATCATCTTCACCATCACCATCCCTATCAGCTTTGTTAGTTTCATTATCTTCTGGTTCAACTACATTGTCAGATAATTTTTCTAATCGGGATACAAATGATGTAATGTTTTCAAAAACACCTCTTTTGTAAAATTCCATACAATGTTCACAACTTTTTTCTAAATCTTCATAGCATCCATAATGATAACTATGACCACAAATCAACACACACCTATCGGTATCTGGAAAATTTGGACCAAATGCTTTTTCACAATGATCGCACAGATCTTTTTTTGGTGGATGTGTTGTATGAAATCCAGTAGGTAATGATTTTAAATCAACCTCTTCACCTAGAGTGCTTAATTTATAACTAATTAATTTTTTCCCTCTATAATGTGGCTTACTTGTATCCAAATTTTTATAAATGCCAAAAAAATATTCTATTAGAAAACAACTTGTCTTTTTAGTCAGATAATCTAATTGTGCTGGTGAATATGGATATTTTTTATTTTTGGAAAAAGCGTCAACAAATGGTGATTTTTTATAAGAATCAATAAGAAAAGCTTCTTGTATTATTGACTCAGGTGATGAAAACTTATTGGTTTGTGCTCTTATTTTGCTATGTATATTCTCAACAAAATAATCATTAAAATTTACTAATGATTTCTCCAATAACTTTGCAAATGGGTGATTATTTTTTTTCCAATAAAAGTAGTCGGATAAAAATGCAAGAGGAATCTTATTATAATTTTTTCTTCTCCATCTCAAAAAAAACATCCAGATATGGAAAATTGTCTCAAGATATTGCTCAAAAGCCCATCGAAAAAGAATAGTGTATATATCTAAGGTTGCTGGTATAATATTATCTAGTAGATCAATCATCATCCTATATTCAACATCTTTAATTTTTTGAATTTTTTTTAATATATCCTCAGAAATTCCTAACCATGCATCATGAACTAATTGGAGAAGAAGATTAATTCGCCATCGTTTGGGCTTTTTTGCAAATTTTTTCTTTTCAAATACATCACAAAATAATTTCTTGAAGAAATAATAATATATAAGAACAACACATTCTCTCGAGTTCAAGGAAATATGTAATGGACCTAACATTGGAACAAAATTTTGTATCCAATCAATATCATTTATATTTAATTGATTATTTAAATATAATGTAATAGCCTTTCTAATAAAAAGCTGTCCTGGATAGTCTGCTATTACAGGTATTACATTTTTTTTTTATATATTCTGATAAACTTTTTATGCTAGCTATCATTTTTATTGCTGACAAATAATCTTCCAAGGAACGAAGGCTTTGCTGCTTCACATTAATTATTTTCACTGATTCCATAGATCTTTCTTCTTTCTTTTCTTCAATATCTTCATTATACATATGGACTAATAAAAGCCCAATGCGATCAAATTTTTTATCATCAATCATTTTATCTTTAACCCATTGTATCTTCACAACAATATAACTTTTATCAAAAATTCCTCTATAATCATTAATAAGTTTTGAATTAATTAATGAATATTCAATATTATCTGGATTAAAAATAGGTACATTTTCAAAATTTGCAGGAACCACAGGAATATTTTCAATTTTTTTGACAACACATGTTGCCATATGTATTGCTGAAGATAACAATGTGGAATCAGGTCTTCTCCACTCATGAATTGAATGGTAATCATCAATATTAAAACAATGCATATATTGAATGTTGTAAAAAAAATACTCTTCTATTATTTTTTGATGATTTTCAGCAACTTTCTTTTTGTAAGTTTGGATTGTTTTATAACAAGCTGAGATATTTGCATTTGATAAGGTGTCAAGTGCAGCAGCACTAGTTCCATTTGCTTCTAAATAGAGTCCAAGGTCTAATTTAAAATTATTTACAAATTTATTTCTTATGCCAGCTAAAAGATAACAAAAGCCAACAATAGATTTTTTGGCAGACTCCTTATTTGAATGTGTGCGTCTTTCAGGAATTATTTTTTCTAATTCATCAAAAAATCCTTTCAATTTTGGTTCTTTTTCTTCAATTAATTTACAAAAGTTTATAGGGTCCAATTCCATTGTCTCATTTGATCCACGTTGTTGTTTGAGAAGTACATTTGTTAATAGTTCAATTTTATCTGAGAATGTCAAATTACTTTTTTTTAAGTTATTCTGGACTGTTAAAAAGACATTATTTGCATCAAACATGTTTTCAATTTTTTTATTTTTTCTTCAATTTTCGTTTCCAAATTTTCAATTTTTTGCATTAATAAACCAAAATCTTCTCTGGATAAAAGAACTCCATTTTCTGTGACATTAATCTTGATATTATTTGAAGAATTTTCATTGACATTCAATTGCTTACGTTTATAATATGCTACATACTTCATGTAGTGATTAGCACAAAGTTGTTCATTTAATCTTAAATAATTTATGCTTTCATAGTCTTGGTGTTCTCTTATATTTTTAAACACATTGTCTGTTATAGTTCTGAAGTTAACATCTTCAGGATTTTTATCATTATTATCACAATTCTTGACTGCACAAGGACCAGAGTTTTTATTTCCACACATCATTGTAGAATTTAATCAGCAAATGTTTTGAAGGATTAAAATTTTATTTTTATTAAGTAGTATAAAATATATAGTATAGTGATATTGAATAATCAATGGTTAATAGTCAATGGTTAATAGTTAATAGTAAACGGTTATAATAATAGTTAATAGTTAATAAGTCAATAGATTTTATTTTTAATTAAATTTTTATAGGATTTCTTTCTTATTTATAATTTTTTTAATACCGAAGTTGATAAATAAATAGACTTGAGAGTCAAATTAGAATTAAAAATAGTTCTTCCTTTTGGATATTATTATTATTATTAAAGAGCGAAACACGTAAAATTTTCGGTTTAGAGATCGGCTGAAATTTCTATTTTTAGAAGCGATCACACACCCGTTTTTGTCACATTTCACAACCAATCAAATCAAACTTCCACCATGCTGTAACATCTAAAATTTGTTATATTAATATTATAACTATGCCAAGAGCAAAGAATATAGGACCATGTACAATAACCAGTTGTGAAGGAACTAATAGATT